GGTTACTACTGAAGGACACACCATGTCAGTATGGAGGGTGTGTATGTTGTTACTGAAGGGGACACCTCGGTATGGAGGGTGTGGTTGTTACTGAAGGGACACCTCGGTATGGAGGGTGTGGTTACTACAGAAGGGACATGTCAGTATGGAGGGTGTGGTTACTACAGAAGGGACATGTCAGTATGTCTACAGAAGGGACATGTCAGTATGGAGGGTGTGGTTACTACAGAAGGGACACCTCGGTATGGAGGGTGTGGTTACTACAGAAGGGACACCTCGGTATGGAGGGTGTGGTTGTTACTACAGAAGGGACACCTCGGTATGGAGGGTGTGGTTGTTACTGAAGGGACACCTCGGTATGGAGGGTGTGGTTGTTACTGAAGGGACACCTCGGTATGGAGGGTGTGGTTGTTACAGAAGGGACACCTCGGTATGGAGGGTGTGGTTGTTACAGAAGGGACACCTCGGTATGGAGGGTGTGGTTGTTACAGAAGGGACACCTCGGTATGGAGGGTGTGGTTGTTACTGAAGGGACACCTCGGTATGGAGGGTGTGGTTACTACAGAAGGGACACCTCGGTATGGAGGGTGTGGTTACTACAGAAGGGAAATCTCGGTATGGAGGGTGTGGTTGTTACTGAAGGGACACCTCGGTATGGAGGGTGTGGTTATTACTGAAGGGACACCTTTGTATGGAGGGTGTGAAACGTAAACATACAACCGATACCAACAGATTGAGTGAGTGAGTGAGTTTGTTTGTTTTTACGCTGTTTTAAGCAATATTCCATCAATATCAAGGCGGGGGACACCAGAAATTGGCTTCACACATTATACCCATGTGGGGAATCGAACCCGGGTCTTTGGCGTGACAAGCAAACGCTTTAACCATGAGGCTACCTCATCGCCCCCAACAGGTGAGGTGAGGTGAGGTGAAATTGGGTTTAACGTCGTGCTTGAAAATATTTCGCTCATATGACGACGTGCATGCGTGTGTATGTGTATGTGCGGCTGCTTGTACTAGCCCAGACTTACGCTGGTTTTATACCCCAACAGGTTGAAGTATGTGGACAATGTAATTAACAGAACATGTTGTTTATGCCAGTGTGACAGAGACAGAACTTAACACAACCCTGATAGCTCCAGACTGATTCAGGGAGGACTGGTGACATTTCTTCTTGTACGATCACTTTAATCATTAAACTGTTAGAAAGATGCAACTCCATTGCAGATCATTTTTTGTAAATTAAATAAAAAAGAAAACTGTTTTAACCCTAGTCACATTGATTGGATGCTTTCATAAAACCAGAAATGTGGAAATAAATATTAAAATACTTCTATAAAACTGGACATATGGACAACAACTATTAAACCATTTTCATGTACCTGGATATTTGGACAAGTATTAAAACAGGAAAGGTGAAGATTTATGGAACACGATATTTCAGAGTATATTCTTACTCTTTCAACAGGTGAATATTTCTAAGCTTTTATTTATTCGAGGAGAAGGAATTTAAATCTAACATAGCCAATGCTTATTGGAGGAAGTACAGTATTTGCTACAGTTACTGATTCTTTTCAATTTCAGTTTCAATATTCTGTAAGAAATGGCCCTTGAGAATATACCTGGAACAATTGTTTTATGGGAGGAAGTATGGTATTTGCTACAGTTACTGAAGCTTCACAGTTCCAATTTTGATATTCTGTAAGAAATGGCCCTTTGATAATGTCTCTGGAACAATTGTTTTGGTAAATATGATGTGGTTACAAACTCATGAAGTGATCTGTATTATTGTCCAAACTGCCATTAGTACTGCATCTGACATAGTTTGCCAGGAAGCGTTCATGGGCGCTGGCAGTTTCCTGCACACCAATGAACTGATAATCCTCCCGATGTAATTAAGTCTATAAACCTCCACATAGCCCTACTGCCTGCAAAGTCTGGTCATTGATTTGTGTAGACGACCACACCTTGACTTAGTTAGCAGATGAGATGAAAACTGTGGCCTGTTCAAAGAAAACACATCCTGAATATTTAAGCAAGAGCTTGGATTACGAGTCTGTCCAATGAGATAGTGAGTGTACAAATGTGCTCCTGCTTTGTAATTCAAAGTTTGACCACAGCCTGGTCGGTATAATCTGTTTCTCAGAAATATAGACCAGAAATCAATTCCTCCTACAGATATAGAGGATGGATGCTCTCCGCAACAATTTACACAATGGGCCTACACTCCTTGCCACCACATCCACAAGTGTGCCTATTCCACCCTCAACAACATCCACAAGTATGCCTACTCTCCCCTCAACCACAAGCATGCCTACTCTCCCCTCAACCACATCCACAAGTGTGCCTACTCTTTGCTTAACCTAATCCACAAGCATGCCTACTCTCCCCTCAACCACATTCACAAGTGTACCTATTCTTTGCTCAACCTAATCCACAAGCATGCCTACTCTCCCTCAACCACATCCACAAGTGTGCCTACTCTTTGCTCAACTTAATCCACAAGCATGCCTACTCTCTCCTCAACCACATCCACAAGTGTGCCTACTCTTTGCTCAACCTAATCCACAAGCATGCCTGTGCTCAACTTAATCTACTCTCTCAACTCAACCACATTCACAATCCACAAGTGCCTACTCTTTGCTCAACCACATCCACAAGCATGCCTACTCTCAACCTCAACAAGCATGCCACAAGTGTGTGCCTACTCTTTGCTCAACTTAATCCACAAGCATGCCTACTCTCTCCTCAACCACATCCACAAGTGTGCCTACTCTTTGCTCAACCCTACTAACCACATCCACACATCCACAAGTGTGCCTACTGCTCAACCTAATCCACAAGATGTGCCTACCCCCTCAACCACATTCACAAATGTGCTCTCTTTGCTCTCCACAAGAATGCCTCAACCACATCCACAAGTGTGCCTATTTTTAATCCACAAGCATGCCTGTCAACCACGTCACAAATGTGCCTAGTGTGCTCAACTACATCCACAAGTGCCTGCTAACTCCCTACTCAACCACATCCACAAGTGTGCCTACTCTTTGCTCAACTTAATCCACAAGTGCCTACTCTGCTCCCAACATCCACAAGCTCTACTTTGCCTACTCTCCCCTCAACCACATCCACAAGTGTGCCTATTTTGCTCAACCACATCCACAAGTGTGCCTACTCTCCACTCAACCACATCCACAAGTGTGCCTACTCTCTCCTCAACCACATCCACAAGTGTGCCTACTCTCCCCTCAACCACATCCACAAGTATGCCTACTCTCCCCTCAACCACATCCACAAGTGTGCCAACTCTCAACCACATCCTCAAGCTTGCCTACTCTCCCCTCAACCACATCCACAAGCTTGCCTACTCTCCCTAAACCACATCCACATCTCTGCCCACAACCATGCACTCAGTCAGACATACACAGCCGTTGTATAACACATCTGAGGAGGCCACCCCCCTCCCTGTCAATACGGCCTCACGATGCACTCTGTCAGACATACCTCCACTATCTAGTCATATACTCTCTGTATAACACAAACATTCAGTGTGGAGGCCACCCCTCCCTGTCAATACGGCTCACGATACACTCCATCAGACATACCTCCCCTATCTAGTCATATACTCTCTGTATAACACAAACATTCAGTGTGGAGGCCACCCCCCTCCCTGTCAATACGGCCTCACGATGCACTCCGTCAGACATACCTCCCCTATCTAGTCATATACTCTCTGTATAACACAAACATTCAGTGTGGAGGCCACCCCCCTCCCTGTCAATACGGCCTCACGATGCACTCCGTCAGACATACCTCCCCTATCTAGTCATATACTCTCTGTATAACACAAACATTCAGTGTGGAGGCCACCCCCCTCCCTGTCAATATGCACTCCGGCCAGACATACCTCCCCTATCTAGTCATATACCTCACACAAACATGCACACGATGCACTCAGGCTCCTCTATCAGACATACCACCCTATCTAGTCCTCCCCTATACTCTCTGTATAACACAAAGTCATTCAGTTTGGAGGCCACCTCCTCCCTGTCAATACGGCCTCACGATGCACTCCGTCAGACATACCTCCCCTATCTAGTCATATACTCTCTGTATAACACAAACATTCAGTGTGGAGGCCACCCCCCTCCCTGTCAATACGGCCTCACGATGCACTCCGTCAGACATACCTCCCTATCTAGTCATATACTCTCTGTATAACACAAACATTCAGTGTGGAGGTGAAAACTCATCAAGTTCAGGTGGAGGAGCTGATAATGGCATGACGATCTCAGCCTCTTCGCTCATTGATTACTGGAATGGCTTCGTGAATTAGGCCAGCACAAACACACACTTCCACACAAGGCCTCCCCTGGGTTGGAGGCCCTCATAATATCACCTGACTTTACCATTAATTGTCTATTTCTGGATCTGAAAGTCATCGACTCCATGACAACCACAGAAGCCTTATCGGGTGGTTGGCAATATCAAATATTCAAAGCGTCATATCAATACAACTTGCAGGCAAGAATCAACAAATATAACCTCAGTTCATAGTGACACAGGCCACGTAATATACATTCTTTCCAAAATCTGTAACTCATTAACTCATGATATCTTTAGCATTCCATGAATAAGTAATGCCCAAATATGGCATTCTTTTAATGTAAAAACCTCTCGTAAAAAAACTTTACACTAACAAGAACAAGCACTAAATAATATTGGTACTGCCCCATGCTGTCAATAAAAATATGCAAAGAATATTCCCTGTGACATTCAGTGTAATCTACCCACAATTCCAAAATCCTTTAAGGCAACAAGATCAGGCATTCTGGATCATTAGAACCACAGTTGCAATCCTTTGCTTAAGGACACACATAAAACACCAGACTGAAAGACCCTGAAGTCAAACAATTACCAAACATCTACAAACCATATTTACAAACTAAACTAGAAGGGAACCATGCTGTATCATTTTCCTTCAAACTGTGACCACTCACCTGTGACGGACTTGAGCTGATTGCCTACCATTTGTTTCGCTATGAAGGCGGCCATGTTGGCGGAGTTTAGGCAGATGTGTCAAAGACACTTGAGGAGTGGTGGGGTAGAACTGACTGTGGTCGGTGTTGCTGGCGTTGCTGGCGTCACTTTATGCTGTCACATTGATAGCCTGCAAGAACAATGCACACTAATCAATATCACCTCCGAAGCAATTGACTTGTCTGCCCGAGCCTACACTTAAAATTGTCAATATGGCCGCCCATGCATGGCAAGATTAAAGCCTGGGCTGCCATCCATCCCTGCCTGTCGTTCTGTAGATCTCAAAGCCAAAGCATGTAGATTAATCATGTGTGGGAATTTCCTGGGAACTGGAATGTAGCGTCAGCAAGTAAATGTCATTTGTCACGGCAAGTGCGCGAACACTGCAACACCCATCAAAACGCTTGTAACTTTCTACAACAAAGATTCACTGATAGTGTAAATTGTTTATCAGAAGCTGGTAGACATGTTACTTTGAGTCATGACTTAACATTTACATAAATGAAACCTGACATCCAATAATTCAACATTTGTATGACGCATCATTCACATTCACATTCATATTACCAACAAAACAAATATATACTCACAACACAAACAAATACATCTCTGTACCGCATGTAATGCAAAAGAAACTGAATCTTGTGTTTCAAGTATCAAATAAGATATCACAAGCATAATCTAAAATATTGTATCAGATGAAAGTGCCATCAAAAGACATTTCGAATAATTACTCTGTTTAAGGACTCTCACTAGCAGGAATATATACCACAAGCTAAGCCTACGGATTGTTCCATAGATGATGGTGGACCTAATGTCCTTCTGAGCTGATCGTACTTGCCATTATTGATTTATACAAGATAACCGATATGTTAGCTTCGCAATAAATACTCCCTAGATAGTGGCATGATATATTTGCAGTCAAAACATCACCAGTATTGCCATACCAAGGTTGTTTGCTTTCATAGTCAAAGACAGAATTAGAATCCGCCGACAAAGCACTTCATTGTTTACATGTGTTAATATGACTACAATGTCGATAATTATTGACCAGGGAAATATGATATAATGGCAGTATGTTGTAATTGCTGTTAGCTTCCTTACGAAAGTCAATATTGTTTACGTCTCAGAGATACGAAAATTGGCATATTTGTGATGTAATTCAGCCTTGGGGTTGAGTTGAAATGAGCTCTGAGTGGAGCGTTTGTTGTACTTAATGGATCCTGTTGTATAATGAGGTTTTATGATAGCAAATTTCATGGGGAAATGTATAAAAGATGCTTTGATTGATACAATTAAATGATATCAGATGCTGCAGTGTGGTAAATAGGTTTTACAATCAGATACAGAGAGTATGGTTGTTAACGGTATTGACAAAACACTCAGTGTACCAGAATTTGGTCATTACAATCGTATCTACAGATGTCACTGTTGGATCAGATTTTGCATGTTTCACATAGGCTGGAGGGTATGAATCCACACTAACCCTGCCAGATCTCATTATTTGTGTTAAACTTTTGGAGTTACCACTGCCTCAGTGTTGAGGACTGTCGTGAAACTGGGTCAAGGTGATTAGGTCAAGTAGTGAGTGAGTGAGAGAGTTTAGTTTTACACCCTCAGCAATATTCCAGCTATATGACAGCAGTCTGTCAATAATAGTATCTGGACCAGACAATCCAGTGATCAACAGCATGATCTACGCAAATCGGATGTGTCAACCAAGTCAGCGAGCCTGACCACCCAATCCCGTTAGTCACCTCTTACGACAAGCATGGGTTACTGAAGATCAGTTCTATCTCGGATCTTCACAGGTTGATTAGGTTAAATACTGTTCACTGAGGCAGCAGTTACAAGTAGACAATCATATTTATCAGCATTAAAAAAAACACAGAGACACAGGCCTAAGACTTTTGAGTGAGTGAGTGAGAAAACAAATGGATGAGTGAGTGAATGAGACTTTGCCTATTGAGCCAGCGCGCCAAAAATGAGTGATTGAGTGGGTGAAATACCTGAACCATGTCCTAATTGTTGACACTGTCAGAAATGGTGCACAGTGTTCGTGTATCATGACCCACAATGAACCTGGTCCACACACTACAGCCATCCAATCTTTTCAGTAATACTCCATGACATGCAACAGGTCCTGGAACCTCAACTAGGTCATCAAGGAGAGTAGACTCCAAGGTCAAGGTCAAAGTGCTGGAACAAGGCCCATTGTTGTTCCAGGAGATCCGTTGAAGGACCTCTACAAAGTACTCAGTGTAAGACTCTAGTAATGGCCGCCTATAGTGTGTCCTCACCTACAGAGTCATTTATCCCAGAACAGGAACCTTGAGGAGCCTTCACACAAAGAACACTTCCTGAGTTGTGTCTTACAGGCTTCACTACAGATGGCCGTAGTTCATGTCCAGCATCTCTTTACAGTATAGACGACATGTGGCAGTTTATCGGATTGTCCTAAAGTGTCCTGGATTCTGTGTATCCAAATCATATCGAATCAGGACAAAGGTACTATCTACAAGTTTTTGTTTGTTTGTTTGTTGTTTAATGCCACTCTCAGCAATATTCCAGATATATGGCAGCCATCTGTAAATAATCTTGTCTGGACCAGAGAACGGCATGTGCATTGACCTAGGCAATTGGGATACGATGACATGCTTTTCCAAAATGAAATCTTTGGTAGGGTATATGTATAAGTCAGTCATCATAGACACAGTTTCAACGGTCATTTTTTAAAGTTTTGTACTAATCCCATTCCAACACAACACAGATTTGATCAGACCCCCTATAGTACAACATAGGAATGTTTTAAGTTACTTGGTCTTGCCACCCCAGTAGCACAAGGCAGAAAAAATGTTCTCAATTATTTGGTCTTGCGACCCAAGTAGCACAACATAGAATTGTTATAAATTATTTGGTCTTGAAACCCAAGTAGTACAAGATGGGATTGTTCTAAGTTTTTTGGTCTTGTCACCCCATAGCACAACAAAGAATTGTTCTAATTTCTTTGGTCTTGCCACCCCAGTTGCACAACACAGAATTGTTCTACATTATTTGGTCTTGCCACAAGTAGCACAACAGAGGATTGTTTCAGATAGTGTTGTCGGCTCAAGTGGTGCCTGCTTTGGTATCAAATATTAATTGATTGCTGCAAGGCGATGCAGTACAGCGGAGTGCCTCACCAGTATCACCAGTACTGCTGCAGCCTCCTCCTGCTCCACAACATCCTAAATTGCCAGAATCATCTCCACCAGCGAAGTTTTATGATTACCCAATGAGCCACAGATGCTGCCATTATGACCCAGCTTTTAGGGTTTGTTTGAAAGTATATGAAGTCAATTTAATGGAAGGATTTCAGCTTCTGTGATGTTATTCCCCAGGGAATCTGTGGAGGAAAGGACAGTCCATGGTCTGTTAGATGCAAGACCCAATTGATTTGCACCAGTTGTCACAAGTGTCAACGAAAATGGCTACTTTTGAACCAATTATGTTCACTTACAATTCTGATTAGAAACGGTCATGCTGAAAAGAATATTTTCCTGGAGTAATTAAAGGAAGTGTTATGAAGATGTGACAAGTTGCAGATTAGGTGATGGGACATTTTAACAGTGTTCTCGCGTTGGGAAATCATGAGATATTCAGAATTCTCACTTGTGCAAAGTGGAATGATGAGTGAGTTTTATTTTACACCACTTTCTGCATGAATGCAGTCATATGCTGATGAGGCAGATCAGTTTTGGTGTTCACACAGCAGTGTAGGATTCAGCGAGGAAAGAGTTGGGGAAAGAGTTGGGGAGGGAGTAGGGTCTGGGGGGAGGGAGTGTTCTGGAGTAGGCCCACCATAACATGCTGATTTGGCCTATCTACTCTTCAATCAGTGAGCAAGCAGACATTAAAGCAGTTTAGTAGCATGACTGAACAGTTCGTTTATGCTATTAATTATATCCCGCAGTATACATTGTGTGTGCGTGAGCGTGTGCAGTTTAAATGTACAGTGAACAATATTCAGCCATGACATGACTGTAAATAATTAAGTCAGGGTCCAAAGACACTGAACCCACTATTCTGACCACCTCTTATGAAGCAGAGGTTGCCCAGGACAATTCTAACGTTGAATCCCCACCAGGGTCCAATCAATTATGACATACCACAAAAGCTTGAAATACAAGCAATTCAATACACTGAGAGTAATAGTCTTTCATAGATAGTCTTTCTTTGATTTGTTTCTTTCATAGTTGTTTAACTTTTACTGCACTGCACAGCAATATTCCCGCTCTATGACGGTGGTCTGTAAATAGTTCAGTCTGGAGCAGTCAATCCAGTGACTGACATCATGAGCATCGGTCTACGCAACTGGAATACGATGACATGTGTCAACCAAGTCAGCAGAATGACAACTTGATCCAGTTAGTCGCCTGTTACGATATGCATGGGTTGCTGAAGACCAGTTCTAACCCAGATCTTCACGAGTCTTTTCAAAGAAGTAATAAATAGTTTGTGACGTCAACCTGGCTCTAATTGTTCTGCAAATGTTTCACATTCAATGACTGCCCAAAAAGAAACTTTCCAAAGCCTGCTGGTGAAGCTATGGATAAGCCAGATAAGTGACTATCTTCAGCCCCTCACCGACACTGATGAGAATGGTATTCTGTGGACTACTTCCAAACAGACAATACTCTAACACAGCGCTTGCACTGTGAGGAGATCTCACATTTACTATGTGACTCTACTAGTGAAGATCTAAGCAATACATAAAAAGCCTCCAGGAACAATATATCAAGACTTGTATGTATGTGACTGAAAATCAATACCGTTTCATGCAAATACTGTTCAACCTAGACAAAGAAGAAACTGAAGCCAGCTAAGAATGTATGAAAACCATTCTCCATGCAGCATATTATCTGTGTTTACATTCTCCATGCCGAACCTGGTCTATGAGCAAGAAAAGTCTTTCATACTGCTCACAAAGCTTCTTCTATCCTGTTAAAAGATTTTATGAATCTTCTGTGGCCGTTTTTTTTCAAAAGGAAAATAAAATAATGTGACTAACCATTTTTCAATGTGTAATCATGATGTAAAACCCAAGCTAGATGCAAATAGACCGAGCCATCACCCCCCTAATGGTTCCTT